AGCAACTTACCTGAGGTCACACAGCCAGCTGGTTACAGAGCCAAGGTTGATAGATTCAGTGCTCTTTTCTTGATGCTGGGCTGTGTTTGTACCTGGTGGCCTGAGTGTACTGGGTCTCCTGGGTGCACTGCCTGGCCAGCCAGCAGGTACTGTCAGGTCACTAAGTCATCACTTAAGCACAGGCTAGAGAATGCAAAGGATAAAACTCCATTAAAAATCACGGTGGTTCACGCCTGTAATCGCAGCACTTTGGGAGGCCAAGGCGGGTGGATCACAAGGTCAAGAGACCGAGACCATCCTGGTCAACATGATAAAACCCCGTCTCTACTGAAAAAAATAAATAAATAAATAGCTGGGCATGGTGGCGCGTGCCTATAGTCCCAGCTACTCAGGAGGCTGAGGGAGGAGAATTGCCTGAACCCAGGAGGCGGAGGTTGCGGTGAGCCGAGGTCGCGCCATTGCACTCCAGCCTGGGTAACAAGAGTGAAACTCCGTCTCAAAAAACAAACAAAAAAAAGCAATGAACTTATTTTATATCTGCTTGCTGTTAAAAATCCAAACAGTGTAGAAGTGTGTCGGAACACTTGAAAGCACCTCCCTCCCTCTCGGCCCTCCCCATTCCACTCCCCAGGGGTAGCCACTTAACAGTGCTTTCTCCAACGGCTCCTTAATTTTCCTGCCATCAGTTAGGTTGTGTAGGACCCATGCCACAGCAAGGCTATTTTTAACAAGCATCCCAGGCTTCAGGGGGTTGAGGAGAGGGGAAGAAAAAAAATATTCCATTTGTATATTCTTAATCCGTGCACATTTGAGCAGGCAGTGGCTTTCCCGTCCCTCCTGCAAAGGGTTGTAGGCAATTGATTAGACTCTCTAGGTGCAGGGTAATCCTTTTTCTTCCCCTAACAAGGCTGGAGGGCCAGGGAGGGGTTTGGGGATGTTTCCGGGGATAATGGCTGTCTCAGCTGGCTGCCTCCTGATCCTGCCTGCCCCCAGCCTTCTCCCTCCTGGCAGCCTCAAAAATCCTGGCTGGGTCTCTGTGGCAGAGAAGGCCTGGGAACCTGACTCTTTGTGCCAAGCTCATATTTAGAAATGTCTCCAGCCAGACGTTGGCCTGGGTCCCACTTGGGTTCTGGGCAGGGGGTGCAGTCACATGTGCTGCCTTTGAGTGGGCAGCTTCTGAGTGGGCAGCAGCCCACTTTGAATATAAACACAATTCCTTTATGCAGACCAGCTGGCATGGGACCCTGTGCTCCTGGGCACTGGAGGGGGCAAGCTCTGGTAGATGGATGGACAGTAGGGAGAGGGAAAAAAGATGTCACAAGGCTTAGACTGGGAAAAAATGGTGGTGGGGGGCACCCGGTTCCCTGATCCCATCAGCCCCTATCCATTTTCTCCACCTCTTTCCTGAGTGCCCAGGGCACTGTTCCTGCCTGAATAGGGGGCCTGCAGCCTCACAATGGCCCTCATCGACCCTTATTTTCCTTCCCACCTCATGTGTTCCCCAGTCTGTGGGACAAGAGTGAGGCCTCAGAGGGAGGACCCCATGGCAGGGTCTTGCTCCATCTCTCCCTCAGTATCTCTGGATCACACTTGTAAAATGTGGCTCTGGGTGTCACCATCTCCGAGGGCTCATTCAGCGTTGACAGTGAACCATTCCACAATTTCTTGTTCACCCCGTGCTCTTTTCCATGACAATGCATGATGATGGCTGAATTAGACCAACTGATCCCAGCTTTAAATAGTAGGCCCCTAAGGTAACACGCGTCATGCTGCAGCCCTGTGAAGACTCTCCTTTTGCTTACAACAGTTCTTTTAAGGAGAGTCATTTACTCATGATATTTAATGAGCACCTACCAAGGGCAGGCCCTGTGCTGTCACCAGCCCTATAGTGGCAAATAAGACCATCTCACTGATGGGTGATGGGGTGGGAGCCTGTCCGCTCTCCTCACATCACACCTCTGCAGGTCTTCCCTGGGGACTGAAGTGGCTTGCTCACTCACTTTGGCTCTCTGGAGAGGAGGCTGCTTTCCTGCAGCTAAATCTTCAGAGAGAATCCAAATGCAGCCACAGGACTTGCCTCCTACAGCCGGAGACTGAGCCAGGCTGCGTCCTCCGGCCCCTGGCAGCTCCACCCCTCCCTGTCCTGTCCTTCCTTCCTCTGCCCACATCTCTGGGGGAAAAGAGCTCCAAGAAGTGGTCAAGAAGGCTGAACAGATATTTTCTTTGTATCTCCTGGGAACAAAATGATAGATACAAAATCACAGACTGGCTGGCTGGCTGGGTAAATAAACAAGTGAGCAAATGAATGAAGGAACAAATGGAAACTCGGTTCCTGCTCCAAAGGCACTGAAAATTCAGATGAAAAGAAATGGCTTGTAGAATGGTGGCACTGTAGGACTGAAGGGGGCCCTTGGGAATAGACTCACCTTTTACAGGAAAGGAACTGCAGGCTCGGAGGAGGGGGGCTGCGGTAATGCCTGCCACAGAGCGCAGAGGTCAGAGGATGGTGAGATCACTAGGGTGGTGAGATCCAAAAGTGAGTGCAAGGGTTCCCTAAGTGTCCCTCGTCCTTGGGAAAAATTGCCTTTTCATATGGTTGGGAGTGGACGGTGCAATTTTTCTTCGAGGGTTAATTGTTTTGCTGACAGCACAGATAATTAGGAATGAGAATCCCGCAGTGAGGGTGACAGCACCATCTGCTGTGAATATGTTTCAACCCCACCTTGCAGGAGAGCTTGGAAATGCACCTATCCTTACCCTCCCCACCCCAACAGAAATGAATGTGCTGTAGCTGTTTGCTTCTGGGGCCACAGCTGCCAGGTGACCTGCAGCCAGTGGGGGTGGGATGGTAACCGGCCTCTTAAGGGTATCGTTTCCTCTCCTTCCCCCATGGCATCTACTGCATGTAGCAGGGCTCACTAGGCTGAATGAGTATGCATGGACAGCCTGGGACAAAAAATGATGATGCCAACAGGCAGATTTTCTCATCCTCCCTGAGCCTGAAGTCTAGTCCTCTGTTGACTAGAGGTGTGCACGTGGGCTGCACTGAGCTACATGCCTGCCGTTACAATTCGGGGTGATTTTCCTGTCAAACTCTATGGATTTGCCACCTACCCTGGGTTTCCTGGCCTTTGGCCTATGCTACTTGTTCCAGAAGGAGGTTGGCCCTGCCTTTCCTTGCTAGGTAGGAATGTCCTAGGTTGTGAGTTTCTCTATCTCAAGAAAAGAGCTGCCTTGGAATCAAGCAGATAATCCCATTGTCCAGGAGCAGCTGAGATCTTTTGTCAAATGGGCAGACTTTTATGTTTCTTTTTCATTTGTATTACTTAAGAATATATTCCCATACATAAAGAGTATATGAAATGTATGTGTGCCTTTTGAAGATAATAATAATTGTTTTTCTCTTTCAAAGGGGCTTTAACCTCTGTTGCTTTGCACAGAAGCGACTTGGAGCCTGAGTTGTAGAGGGCCAAGTTGCTGGGAGGCTCAAGGTCAGCCTGGCCTCTCCCAAAGCAGTGGCTGTTTATCTCGGCCAATTTTTTTGTGCCTGAGCTGCTCCTGTTAACTAGAAGGCTCTGCATTCTTGTCTTTCTTATTAATCACTCCGTTATCTCTGTGCTTTCTCCTCTTACACTCTCCTATCAGGGAAGAAACCAAAAGCATGATTGTTCTCCCCCTTCTCCCCATCCCTCATGGCAGGGCAAGCCAGCCAGTGTCCCCATCTCCTTCCCATTCCCACTCATCCCCCACCCTCCAGGTGACTTGGAAGGAAGATGAAATGAACCGAGGACCAAAGAGCTAGCTGGAAAGAATGATGATTGACTGTTTCACTTACTTACTGTGTGACCTTTAGCAACCTTCTCGACCTCTCTGTGCATCTGTTTCCTAATCTTTCAAACACCCCTTAACAGAACTACTGAGAAACTAAATGGATCCAATGGATGCAAAAGCCGCTTGAAGAGTCTATAATTATTATATATGTGTCCCTTCCTTCTTCTGCCACTGTCATTCCTGTCCCTGGGGCGTCCTCTTGTCTGCAATGCTTGGCATCCTGGTGGAGGTTCTTTGTCTGCCATAGCCTCTTCTCAGCAATGGGCACACAGAGGCCAAGAGGAGCCTGTGGTTGGGGTGGAGCTGAGACTCACAGCCAGGTGGGCAGCCCAGGAGCCCATCCCTTTCACCCCCAAGAGCTGGAGGCTGTGCCTGGTCAGAGGTGCAGGGCTGTAGCCAGCTTGGACTTGTCCAGAGATGGGCAGACCTCCAGGCTGGGGCAGGCTGCTTCAGCCAGAAGTACTCTGGCCCCTCATGATGGAGCATAAGCCACAATCTTGCCTAGGAAATGTGATGGCTCCGTGGAGCCGGTGTCTCTGTTCCTCATCCCTGCAAGGTTTGTGTCTCCACTTCTGTCTCTCACTCTGGGATAAAGAGCTGTGAAAAGATGGTCGTCATCACACATAGGTGCAGTATCCTACCTGGAGCCCCCCAGAGTGTAGAACACCAGAAGCCTCACTTGGAGGACCTGGGCTAGAAAAGTTGCGGAAGTTTCCACATAGATGTGTCTTTGCACTTCTATGTACATCTCACAGCTGGAGTGAGAACATCCGCTTCCTTTCTCTTTCCTGGGGTGATGGAACAGTGTGAGTTTCTGTTGGTCAATCTGGGCTAAACTCTGAACGACGTCTAGGGTTTGGATGCAGGATTAGAAGTGAGTCTTTCAGGCAGATGAGAGGAAATATGAAGAGGAAGGAAAGGAATGAAGGGCATATGTGTGCATGTGTGTACGGTGGGTGTGTGTGTTGAGGCCTGAGCCTGGGTTGGTGGGCAGGACACCGTCAGTGAAAACCCTGGATGAGATAGAGTTGGTATAGTCATAAAGAACTGTATATAGGCTCTAATAATAAAGAGAAAGAGGAGGATGGCTAGAATTTGCAAGAACAGCTAAAACCTGGACATGTATTTCTGGCCCTGGTAGATGATGGAGGCCTCTGTTCTTCCTGCAGATCCCCTCTGAAGCAGCTGGGAGCTCAGAAGCTCTCTCCGTCCCTGAGGAGTGGGTTAGCCATAAGAGCAAGAAGTGATGGAGTAGAGTCCACCCAGCGCCTGAGGCATGAGCAGAATCCACACCCATTAGACCAAGAGCCTCACACTGGGAGGCTGCACTGCTGGGGAGATCCAAGAAGAATCAATACTTTGGCCCTTGGCGACATATACATGGTGTAATGACAGGTAATGAACCTGAGGCTCGTCTATCCTTTATGAATGATATGGCAGGTAGGAGAATATATCAGCTTGCAGTAAGCATAAAATGTCAACCCATGGGAAGATAACTATGCAAACAAAGCACACTAAGTCCTGATAAGATGATAGATGGAAGCTTTATAGTTATTAGTTTCTGCCCCATATTCTTGCTGGAGCCAAGCACCAGAAGATTTAGCATCAGATGGGTTCACTTCCTATGCCTTATGGGAAGGTCTGATGCCTTTATGGATGTAGCATGTCGTATTTGAGGAACTTGGAGTAGCAAATCAAGAAGTCATTATTCCCCATCAGCTTCTGTGGGAAACAGTGTTCATGCCAGTGGAGAAACAGAGACAGCAAGAAGTAAAGAAGCTCTTTCATTGCATCCATGGGGTGTGAGGGATAGATCTGGAGACCTCAGTGGTTGGGAGGCCTTCAGGTCTGGTTCGGATGTCTCAAATGACAGGTGTGGTGATGGGTGGGTGAGTCCTGCCAGTAAAAAAAAAAGGCTTTGTGTCTTCCATTCTTTCAAGAATGCCTGGGCAAGTAGCAGATGATCAAAGGTGGCTGAGGTCATGAGTAGGGGTCTGTAGAGGACAGCAGGGGCCTGTCAGATTCCTTGGGTCTAGCAGTTGATGGAAGTCAGGCAAGCCTGGAAGCATCAAGCAAGTGTCTAGGGCCTAGAAGGCAGGGCCTCGAGACTAGAAGGACAGGGCCAGCCATTAAGCTAGAGACCCTAAGGGTGAGTTCTGATCCAGTGGCAGAGCCTATTCCTATGGATTTTCCGCTTTCCACTGTGTGCATCATATGAGGTACCACCCTGGCAGCTTCCACTGTGGGAAAAATGGTAGGCTGGGGTGGAGGCAAAAGTAGCTTGGGGCCTTGAGAAACTGACCGGGGCAAGGGGAGAAGGGCCAGTGGTCTGGGGCAGGATGCCCAAGAGGGTGTGGTAAATTCCATTTCAGTGCAGGCCAGTGTCAGGGTCCCCAGGGTCAGAGCCAAGGGATGGAGAGGGGCAGAACATTAGGACTTCTGGGTGGCCTTGTTCTAAATTAGGCAGAAAGAGTAAGTTGAAGAAGGAATCTAGAAAGCTGAGCCCAGCTCTAGGAAGTGGATCAACCACAGGCACTAGGTGGGCTCACAACTGGACTCCTGTCTATATAAGGAAATGGAGGAAGAATTGAGCTCCAGGGTCTCTGGCCAGGGATGGTCAGGGAATGGCTATGCCTCGAGGGGCTGAGCTAGGGAGCTGGTAGCTCCACAGGGGCCTGAGTCTAAATATGACCTGTATGTACTGGCCCTGGGCTATCTTTAGACCCCACCTCCGTGGGCAGGGCCGAACCTGGGGAGCATCATGGTGGGAGGTGATGGGGGACTGGGTAGGGGCAGAAAATATCCAATCCTGGAGGTAGGTGGGTGAGGACTTTCAAGTTTGTAGTCTTAGGAGGCTGAGGGGCAACATACCTCCTGATGAAGGCCAGAAAGAGCCAAGGACTGGGTCTGTTTTAACGCTCTTCTTTTATGTTACCAATGTTAACTGAGTACCTGTTGTGCCCTGAGCACTGTACTTGTTGCCGGAAATGCAGAGAATGAGCTGCGGTCTGCTCCCAGGGGAGGGAGTGTAGAGCCCGGCCCAGGTCTTTGGAGGCTTCAAGCTTCTAATCTCATTCATAGTCCAGTGGGGAGAATTAAAGAAAATAAAACATGTCACACACTTAGCACAGCAGCTGGCACCACAATAAGTGATCAATACGTTTAGTTTGTTTCCACGATTCTGCTTTTGGAGAAGCTCACAATCTGGTGGGGGCGAGAGCCAGGAAGGCTGAGAGAAGCACCTTTTAACTTCCAGGGATTCTGACTGCTGACAGGGTCGGGGGCCTGGGCTTTGAAAACCTGGTTATCAGAATTTCTCTGGGCACAGAAAATGTGGTTTAAAGTGGACCCTACCACTCGGAAATGGTGACTGCATTTAAGTGCTTTGGCAGTCGCTGGGCACACAGGGAGACTGGAGGCAAGAGGGGTGGGTCCAGGAATTTAGAGAAGTGTTGAGAAAAGAGGACATTCTCCGAATGCTTGGAGAGTCTTGACTCCTCGTCTTCCAACTCAGAGGGAGGGATGTGTAGAAGCCAAGGCAAGACTTGTGCCCCGGAGCGGGCGGCCCAATAGCCATTGGGGGCGGGGCTCAGATGCAAGCCTTGTGTGTCATTTTAAATGTTCCGGTAGCAGCATTTAAAAAAGTAAAAATAAGCAAGTGAAATTAATTTTAATGATAGATTTCATTTAACTTAGTATCATTTTAACATGTAATCAGTCTAAGAATTATGAATGAGATATTTTACATTCTTTTCATACAAAGTCTTTGAAGTCTACAGTGTATTTTATACTTACAGCACCATCTCCAGTTTGGACCAGGCACATTTCGAGTTGGCTAATGGCAACTGTGTTGGATAGCACAGATCTAGACTCTCGAATATCTTGCCAAGGAGCACCCAGGGGCCAGGGCTCTCCTGAGCTAGACAGCAGGATTTACTATTATGTTCCCTTCTTATGAAATGTCTGTAATGACTCTCTGGGGACATTCTGTTGAATAATAAGAGATGTCTTGAATCACTTGTTCTAGATGGTGACTTGTGTTCTCTGGAACCAGCTCTGACTGCAGGTCTCAGAAGCTGGGTTTAGGACTCTGCCACTTGCTGGATGTGGGACGTTCAGGCAGTTCCTGAAGGTCCCTGAGCCTCAGAAGCTTCCCTGAAATGGAACTAATAAATTCTATCTTACTAGGTAACGATGAGGACTAAATAAAATAATGAATAATTGCTCTGTGACACTCAATTTCAAGAAATAATTCTTTTTATTTTCCTAAATCAAATGAAAACAAGTTTGAGTTTTCCTGTTGGCTAAGTTCAGCAGAAAGTTTCCTAATTGGCATTTCTGTAGTTCTTTCTCCATTCTTCCTTTGCATGAGAACAGGGCCGCTTTGAAGGTCAGCAAAAATAGGGCGGGGTGAGGCCTGGGCCTTAGCCCCAGGGGGTGACAGTTACTTCTGGTGCCCCTTTATCCAGACCTGTGTGGTCAGCTGGAGGAGGCAGGCCCCTGCAGCCAGCTGGAGCTCCATCTATGCCAGCTTGCCACAGGGGAAACTGGAGGGCGCAGGACCCTATTTCTAGGGGGGCGATGGCACCCAGGCACTGAACTCCAGTGGAGCGAGGGTTGCCAGCCACTCCAGGTCCTAATTCACCCCTAATTCTCTAAAAGAATTAGAGGTGAATTATTCTCTAAAAGCTCCATGTCCTTTATGCCTCTCTTTCCTGCTTCCCAGCCTCAGTCTTTGAAACAAAGTCCTGTTCCTACCTTACCATATCCCCTTTCTTTTCCCAAAAAGAAAAATTCAGATAACTTCCCCTTAGGGTAGGGAGCCCAGATCATATTGTCACAAAATATGGCTGTTCTTTCTGGAACTGGAAGGAGTACACATTTTATTATCTTGTGAATGACTGCTCTGGCCGCTGATCCCCAACGACAGCAGAAAGCAGTAATCGCTATACAGAGTCACTGACATGGCGCCCTGACACATGTAGCTGGCACCTGGCTGGTGGCCACGAGACCAGATTCCCCTATGCCCAGCCCCATCTGAAGAATGAGTTAAATATTTCCTGCTGTCTGGGGTTTTCCTGAGCCTCCTGTGAGATAGTGTATGTGAAGGTCCTTTGTAAAGTTATCAAATGTTATTGAGACTCTTAGTTTCCTACCTGGGGCTGCTTTCTGGTCTGGGAGCTGAGTTTGAGGCTGTAGATTGGATTTAAAAGATGCCCCTTCTCCTGGCATCTCATGGCAGATGGTGCTGCCATAGAACTCAACTAGGTGCTTCCATGAGGTGCTCCTCCAGGTGCTCTATCCGCCAGATGCACACCTCTGAATTAACCCCTTTCCTCTTGTTCTCCTTTGGGAGAGGGGAAGGATCAGGGTGTTAGTGGCAGCAGTAGCATTTCCTGACATCTTTACTTCCCTCAGCCTATTGTGTGTGTGGGGTCTCTAGCCAGTCCTCCTGAGTTTGGAATCCACCCAGAATTGTGAAAGCTCATAGTCCATCCTTCCTGGGATTGGGAGCAAGCTGTGGATCTAAGTAAGTCCTGTAGCTCCTCCTTGTCTCCCTGGTATGGGTCTGGTGAGGACTCTGCGATAGGGAATGGGGGATCCAGGCAAATCCCATGTCCCCTGGGCCAGGCATGGAGGGAGTAGGATCAGGAGGTGCAGGTGGGTGACATGAAGAGTAACTGGGCTTAAGCTGCACTGGAATCAGGGCAAAAGTCTGCAGGACAAATGGAAATTCTCCAGGCCCGGCATTGAGACAGCATTTTCAAGGCTGGGTCCACATTCAACTGTGTGTGGTTGGGTTAATGCGCCTTTGATACTCTCCGCAGTGGTATTTGGGTCACTGGTGTTACTGCCTCTCTGGACTAAAGAGCCCCGCCCCCTTTAGCAGCTGGCTGCCGCTTCCTGCTGGCTCTCCTGGGGCCTGAGCTCTCAAGGCTGTCACGAATCCTAAAAGAGTCCTTCAAACCAGTGTCACTGTGACTTAACATCTATTTCAAAAGATGAGCTGTGGTACATTTGGGGGACAGTGCAGGGGTGTGTGTCACAAACTCAAGCACATTTGGATAAGGTTATCGACCTGGCGTTTTCTTAGTTTGCTATGTGACCCAGTGCAGGTCTTTTAAGTTCCCCAGACCTCAATGTTCCCCTCTATTAAATGGGCATGAGAGCCTGTACTGCAATGCTTTAATCCTGTTTGCCGGTATACACGCACTCTACAAGTAAAAGGAGCTGTGGATCTTACTTGCCAAAGATTCGAGATAATTCTGGCAGCACTCTTTCCTCACTGAAAATTAGTCTCTTTATTGCTTCCTGGGAGTCCAGAGGGAGCAGCTTCTGTTATATCACCTTAGATTTTGCAGCAGGGAGAGGAAGAAAGCGACATTGCCCTTGAC